GGATCGGAATCTCAGATCTTCCTCTCTATATCCGTTTCTTCTCTTTAGATCGATTCTTTCTAATGGCTGTTTCTGCTCGTGAGGAGTTTGTGTACATGGCTAAGCTCGCTGAACAAGCGGAGAGGTACGAAGAGATGGTTGAGTTTATGGAAAAAGTTTCCGCCGCCGTTGACGGCGATGAACTCACCGTCGAAGAGAGAAATCTTCTCTCCGTTGCTTACAAAAACGTGATCGGTGCTCGTCGTGCTTCGTGGCGTATAATCTCGTCGATCGAGCAGAAGGAAGAGAGCCGTGGAAACGATGACCACGTCGCGGCGATTCGTGATTACAGGTCGAAGATCGAGACGGAGCTTTCTGGAATCTGCGACGGAATCCTTAAATTGCTTGATTCTAGGCTTATCCCTGCCGCTGCTTCTGGTGATTCTAAGGTTTTCTACCTGAAGATGAAAGGTGATTACCATAGGTATTTGGCTGAGTTTAAGACTGGTCAAGAGAGGAAAGATGCTGCTGAACATACTCTTTCCGCTTACAAATCTGCTCAGGTTTATCTTCGTCTTCTTCCTTTTTCAACGATTCGAATCCCAGATCTAGGTTATCTGAATGTTATTTGCGATTCGTGGATCTAGGTTATCTGGTTGTTTAGGGATTTGTATAATGTGATTGAGATTCTTTGTTTTGATATATGTGAGTCTCTCTCAATGCAGGATATTGCTAATGCAGAGCTCGCTCCAACACACCCGATCCGTCTTGGTCTTGCATTGAACTTCTCTGTGTTCTACTACGAGATCCTCAATTCTCCAGACCGTGCCTGCAACCTCGCCAAACAGGTAATATTCATCGATTTGATTCGACTATCTAATCGATCCTTCAATCATTTTGAAAATGTGGATTGGATTTTGCCTGCTTATCGCCAGAAAGCTAAATTGAAGCAACTCATAGTCATAGATGATAGATCCATCTAACTTTGCTATATAATCTGTTTTCCTCATCTCAAAACTTGCAAAGACATGAATGTAACATCGACGAGATTACACTGTTGCAGAATTAGACACTCTAGGTGAAAGAAGTCCTCTGATGAATCTAATTTGACTTTGTTTGTTGTTGTTGTATGTATTGTCAAGGCCTTTGATGAAGCGATTGCGGAATTGGACACACTAGGTGAAGAGTCATACAAAGACAGCACCTTGATCATGCAGCTTCTCCGTGACAACCTCACTCTCTGGACATCCGATATGCAGGACATGCAGGTCTGTCTCCTCTCGATTAAAAAAAAAAAACACAATTTTCTTCTTCTATTATCGCAATTTCATGGACTAATATTCTATCTTGGTCGGGATCATATTAGGACGATGGTGCGGAGGAGATCAAGGAAGCATCAGCTCCAAAGCCGGCCGAGGAATAGCAGTAACAATCTTTCAAATGAACTGCTAGTTTTCTAGGGTTTCCAACTTCTTCTCTCCGTCTATATGTACGAGGTCGCTTGCCGGTTCGCTTCATCTCCAAGCTATTTCTTTTCATTTCATCATATATTCGGCAAGTCGAACCATCAATCGTCTTTGATCTCTTTGCTTGATTTTTTCTCTCTT